GAGTGAAATAGTTGATGGTGCTCCGCTTCCAACTATAGTTATTCCATTTGACTGCCCTAAAGGAAAGAGCTGCACTCTATTATTTGAGTAATCTGCAACATATAAATTGATATCAACGTCAACAAAGACTCCATAAGGTAAATTAAGCATGTTTGCAGCCGATCCCGCAGTACCCGTACCAGCAACAATAGTTGACGCAGTCATGTTATCATTTAACCATTTCTTAACAACCTGATGATTGTTACTTACTGAACAATAGAGAGTATTTTCAATATCAATAAAAATACTACCACAGAAGTTGGAAACTGTCATAAAAGGAACACTACTATTTGCATTTACGAACCATTGGTCGACTCGACCATTAGAGGCACCATTGTCGATATACATGTCGCCCAAAGGTGCAACGAAAACACTTCTAGGTTGATACAAACCACCAGAAATAGTTTTGTCAGGATTCACACTTCCTTCTAGCCACATTTGAACGCTATTGTTTTGTATATTCGCTACGTAAAGAGTATTGCTCATACTAATAAAAAGGCCATAAGGTTGAATACCAACGGTGGTGACATTAGCGACAGTAATAGCATTTGTATACCATGTTGTAGATGGACAGAAGCTTGGTTGATTAATAATCAAATCTAAAATAAGATGAAAATCTCTTTGGATAGAATTAAGACATGTTATATTCTTAATCAATCCAATAGCTGAATCTTATCCGATTCGATAATATCCAATTGGAATTATTTAACTGTCAAGTCTTGAAACATGGCATTGATATGAAAGCTAGATCTACTATTATATGTAATATTTGTCGGGGCAAAGATTATGAAAATGCAATAGAAAAGTTAGATTTTGAAATTGAAATTCAAGAAAAACGTGTTTTATGTTCAGTGAGACTTATTATTAGATGGAGCACATTTAAAAAATACTGAGAACACTTCTTTCTCTCACCTCAAAAAATGGGACAATTTCTAACAACACAAAGATATCCTTGTTAATGGAACTATTAGAAGATCATAACATCAAAAAAAACTACTTGGACTGGATCGCTTGGGTAGATTTCATCATTTATTCCGCGAAATCTCTTCTATATTATATTTTTGCTTTAAAATGTTTCGTTTTAGTTGTCTAATTATATAAAAAAAAATTTTTTTATTATATTTACCAGAAGTAGTATTTATTAAATTGAACTTTTGTATTCGATGGTTGGAACTATCAGCAACAAACATATTACCGTAACTATCGAAACTTAAACTTGTTGGAAGATTTAGTTGATTAGATGCTGAACCTGCAATACTTGAACATCCTACTAAACAACGAAATCCGTTTGGTCCTGATCCAACAATACGATTATTGTAATAATCCGCAATGAATACGTAACCATCTGCGTCCAGAACAATTCCGTTAGGACCATTAAGACTAATAGTTCCTGTTGCTCCAGTTCCTGCTATCGTTATCCCATTTACTTGTTTTGATAGGAATTTTTGCACCCTATCATTGGTAAAATCAGCAACGTATAAGTTGAGATCTGTATCAACAAAGATTCCACGAGGATCATGAAGCGTATTTGATGTTGATCCAGAACAGCCTGTACCAGCAGCAATAGTCCACATATTTGAATTGCTATTTAATGATTTCGTATTAACTTGATGATAATTAAATGGTGAACAATAGAGGTTATTATTAATATCGACAAAAAGTCCGGTACAAATATTTTTGACGTTCATTGCCACAGTACTATTTGTGGCATTTAATGTCCATTTATCCACTCTATTATTTACATTACCATTGTCAATATAAATATCACCACTACTTGTAACGAAAACAGTATATGGAAGGTTTAAACTACCAGAAATAGTTCTTGTGGGATTGCTTCTACCTTCAGGCCATGCTTGAACACGATTTAAAGAATACTCACATACATATACCGTATTGTTATTATCAACAAATACACCGTAAGGATATGTTCCGATCACAGTGATGTTCGCAAAAGTTATTCCATTGGAACTCCAAGAAGTATATGCAGTGAGTTTTGGCATATTGTATGAAATAGCTACAAAAACATATATATTCATTAATTTCTTATTTATCAAAAATACACCCAGCCATTACACATCTACATTCATACCCTCACGTTTTTTTAAGCAAAACTCGAAATAAAATCCTTTTTATCTCTATAAAGACATAAATAAACAATGAATTTATTTATTTTCTATTACTCTTTTGAAATTATTTCATAAATAATCGAAAATTTCGAAACAGAATTCCTATCTTATTAAATGATTACATACGATTTGAATATGATACAGTAGTTGTTGTTGTTAAAGAAACTGATTGAGTATTATTCATTGAAGTTACTATTAAAAATAAATATAAATTATTAATTAGTAAAACATAAGTCAATAAGAAATTATTTGAAAATACCCGTGGCCATAGTTGTTACTGGTGTCGTTCCATCTATAAAATAATCACATATTCTTAATGACGCATCGTTTTACATATGAGAGAATTAGTTTTAACTTACTACATGAGTTTGGTAACAAAAGAAATTTTTGCACTCTGTTATTTTGTTGATCGGTGACAAATATATTTCCATGGGTGTCAAAACTGATGACATGTGGATTGTATAATTGGCTAGATGATGAACCAGCTCCAGAACATGCCGCGATACATCGAAACCCATTAGGCCCTGAGCCAATAAGACGATTATTCCAGCAATCAGCAATAAAGATATACCCATTAGCATCAAGTATAACAGAAGTTGGACCAGCCAATACAATGGCTCCTGTTGCTATTGTTGTTCCGTTCAATTGTCCTGAGGTAAATTTTTGAATCCTATTATTGTAAGTATCAGCTACATACAAATTCAAGTTAATATCAACAAAGATTCCGTATGGATAGTTAAGTGTAACCGATGTTGATCCAGCTGTACCTGTACCGGCGACAATACTCCATACATTTAAACGTGTGTCCAATGACTTCGAGACAACTTGATGATACAGACCCATTAAGCAGTAAAGCATATCATTGATATCGACAAAAAGACTGTAACATTGTCCACACGTATACATTGCTGGAACACTATCTGTTGAATTCCATCCCCAATTATCAACCCGATAATTTGTGTAGCCATTGTCGACATAAACATCACTATTGTCCGTAACGAAAACGCTAAGAGGTATGGATAAGCCACCAGAGTAATTGCCTGTAAGTGTGGTACTTCCGTTAAGCCACACTTGAATTCTCCCATTCGTTTGATCAGCTACATAAACGCTGTTATCTGTATTGATAAACATGCCTACAGGTTGTGTGCCAACCGTGGTGATATTGGCAAAAGTTATAGCCGTCTGGTTCCACGTTGCATTTGCACAAAGTTTTGGTTGATTGTATGAAATACCTGTGAAAAATCATAGAACTATGAAATACAATTCAAATAGTAATGATCATCATAAACTCAAAATCTTACATTTAGAATCTAACTATTAGATTTAGTAGGATGTTTGCCGAGCTTTTATCGGCAGATACCTTAGTGATTCCGTCAGCCGCATTCTTCTGATTAAAACTCAAGAGAGAACTCTGGGAATGTGCATTGTATATTTGGTCTGATCATTTCTCGACTAGAAAATACGGCGAAGGTTCTTTCGAAGAATATAGTAAATAGTTTTATCGAATTCTTACCCGATATTTGTCTAACAATCGATAGAAACAGCCAAACATTGTGAAAACCAAACAATATCATTTTATATATCTAAAATAGAATTCACTTTCATATTAATGGATACATTTAGATATCTTGATAACATTCCGTAAGTTTTCTTTCATAAAGTGTCCTTCACCTCATATAATGTAACTCGTATATACTCCATCTTTTAATATTTTCATAAAAACTGTTTCTAAGCGTTTCCATACACTTCTGAGATATGATTTTATACAATAGAAGCAATTATAAAATAAAATAGTATTTAAGAGTTCATCCTGGTGATTTTTTCATACAACTACATATTCTTTCGCATAATAAATATTTAAAAGTTTATAGATGAATGTTATGTCGCTATCTGTGTGCTTGATACGACGCAATAGAGCTTAATTTTTACTATATTAAGACGTAGTTTATGATATCAAGTAGTTCTGCATACCTAAAAATGATTACATGATCAGTTAGTGAAACACAAATTTAGAGATTGCATTTATATGCTAGATAATACAGATAGAAAATGATCTGTATATTTAAAAGGATTGTTATTTTCATCATATCTCTGGAAGATCGTTTACGACATTGTGTTTCATCGTATTCTCATAAGCTTTTCGTATCTCCTTCCTCTCCAAATAATATAAAACCCGATATTTGTAGCGACCAGTCTGGCCGAGATTCCAATTCTTTTTATTCTGATGCAGTTTCTATGATGTATCAAGAAAACATAATTTTTTTTAGGAGCTATACTATTCGTATAAGGCTGCTTGATCGATCAATAGCATTATACGAGTACTATAATTCGTTAAGTAATTATTTTTCTATATATCATAGATATCGAATAAGAAAAAAATATATAATCGGATCCTCCGACCAGGCTGAATAGTTCATTTGTTTTAATTAATACTTGCTGTTCGTTTGATCGATGTAAATAATCTACAAAGAAAAATGAAAATTATTAATTCAATTAATACTTACTATTGAATTAGTCATTACATAATCCAATAGAATACAGATGTATAGTCGATATCCTTCGATCAAGCAGAGAAAAGTGAATCCGTAAGCAAACAGTTTATTTTTGCTGCATACTTCTCTATAAGAAAGAGAATATGAACAACGAAAACACTTTACTATCGATATCTTCTAGTATATAATTCACAATAAGTTTTTCATAAATTGAATTTTGTTGTATGTAATATGTATCAATCTGTTCATGTATTTGTATTTAACTCGTATATATCAATATAAGAAAATCCATCTTTTCAAGATATTCTAATATATATTTTTCTCCAATCGAAATGATTAAACTTTACTTTTGTAAAATCTGTATCTCAGCAATTTTTTGACTGAGAATACATTCAAATTAGCTGTTTAATTTAAAATGGAATCTTTTCTATTTTTTTTCTCTTAATCATCAAATGAAGAAAAAGAATATTCAAGGTGCGTTCAACAAACATGAAGAAATGATTCATAGTAACCGTCTTGATGCTTTACTTATTTTTAATATCGTAATAAGAAAAACTTTTCTTTGTGCATTTTATATAGATAACTTTCATATTCTAAAATATTTTTTGTACAGTTAGAAAACTATTCTTTCTTACGATTCTGAATAAGATATGGCGTCTCTTATGATATAACTATATTCATATACGAGAGAATAATCGTTTTCTAATTTTTTTTATTTAAAATATCAACTATAACGCGTGTTTTCTGAGATAATTCACGAAATAAATTTTAATTTATATTTAGCTAATTGTAAAACTTAAGAAATAATAAGCACAGTGATGAAACTATAGTTTTCTCGTATTTTTGGAAAAAAAAATATTATTTTGTTTGGCTTCATAGCATCATGGTTTAAATATTAAACATCGATCTATTATGTGAAAATGATTTTGAAATATCAAACATATATCTTTTAGCTGCAAAAATTTCATTTGTATAATTATATTTTTAATTATAAAAGTCTTTCAGATAAAGAAAAAAATATATGCATCTATCTCCATAGAAATTATACAGAGAAGTATGATTCAGCCAACATATATGATAATTTATTGTGATAGTGTTGTATTTTCTCTATAGTTTTCTACAATCATCCATTTTCTAATATTATATTTCTTAAATAAACAAAACCTTTGGATATTTGATTATTTATTTTTTTTCGAAAAATCTTTCTGCTCTTCTTCAATATGAATATTTTTTGTCTAGAAATTTTCATTCCATAGTCTCTATGATGATCTAAAAGAATTAAGATTGTTTTTGTTTTTTCTAACCTATACAAAAGTCAGTACTTACCAAAGGATATTTTTTTCTGTTTAGAGTAAAGTAAGAAAATTGTTGTGTATTTAACTGAATGCAAATTCTTTATGAAAAAAAAAATTTTAGAATTAGTTTTGTAAAATTAAGGAAAGCAAAAAAAAGAAAAAAAGAAGATATTTTTAATATGAATAATTGTTTTCTTCTAATATAAACGCCATACAAAGAATGTCTTATTCTTACTTGCACAATATTTTTTCCCAAACAATCAACTAAACTCTGTTTAACTAGCTGATTACGAGAGTCGTTTTTTTTGCTTCGTTATTACAAAGGAATCAATTTTTTGAACATAATGCCATAGTATTATCGAAATATTAACAGCATACAGTGATATTAATTCAGACATGATGATGAAACACAAGGAAGTAGAAATGAGACACTGTTATTACAACATATAATATCCACGCTTGAAAATCCAGTTATCAAAATCCTTGCTTTACTTCTTTTGTAACTATTTTTTTCTATTTATTAATTTTTTAATCTCCCATGTGGATGTGAGTATGAGAGATAAGTATAAAACTCACATCCATAATCCGCTTGGTGTAAGGGTGGGTGTGAGTGTGATATAAATATAATACCTATACCCACACCCTATCATTGTTAATAAATAGTATGATTAAATAAAGTATTTTTTTCATTCCCTACTAGCTTCATTCGGGTTATATTTATCAGTTAATCTGAAAATGCACAATGCACCAGATACAATATATATAATTTATATGAACGAGAAACATTGATTATACAATCAAAAATATATTGATAACTGTCATTCTTATACATCAGTTGTATCTATTGAGTCACTTGCATATGCAGCGATAACAACTTCCTTATGAGATGAATCGTGAGTCATATTCAATATTCGACAATGGACTTCGTTGTGAGCTGTAGAACGAATTGTTACAATATTATTATATTGAATATATTTGAAAATTCTTCGCACTTCACGTGACACATACAAATAAATATAGAATGTGCAAACATAATTACAATGAAATAATAGAAGTATCATTTGATCAAAGAAATATTCCAAAGCCAATCGAAAAGAATTTTTTTAAATTTCTTTAGTTAATTCAAGATAAATACCTTGAAAACCGAGCAGTCATCCTATTCCGGAAAGTTACACATTCCGGAATCGCTTGGCTCACCCAACTTAACATAATTCAATTCCGGAATTCTTTGCATTCGATTCCTGCCTATTCCGGAATGCCTTGTATTCGATTCCTGCCTATACCGGAATTCCCTGCATTCGAT